CTATATATATAAATATAACCATGAAAATTTGATTGTGCTGGCAGTAGAATAAACTGTAGAAGTATTAATAATACCTTATATTCATGTTTCAAAAAGAATAAGATTAATCGTGATGACTCATTTTTGTAATATGCTAATTTCTTGTTGCTAGTTATTACAGATAACTCCCTCAGCTGCTATTGTATCATTTTGAATTCCTCAAAACTCAACCATAAATCAATATTTCAATTTTCCTATCATGTGAATGTCTATAGAAAGCTTGAATTCTACAACATGAGCTCATGCTTAATTCAAATATAAAAAACATCATCTTTAGAAATTTGTTCACATAATTACATGAAAGTTTAAAACTACTTTTTTATCTTAAATAAACAATCAAATAAAATAATTTTATATGTGATTTCTATTTTATGTAAAGTCATCCCACTACTTTTTGTGAATGGTTTGCAACTACCTCTTTAATCAATAAATACCAACTCCGATGGATCTCAACTTCTAAAGTTGTAAAGCAAGCATTTAAGTTTCATGATGGATGAAAGTAGATGAATGAAACATTTTGAGAGAGTACGTTACAAAGTAAGTTTCATTCGGGCAGATTCCTAAGTATGGGCACATAGACTTTTATGTACAACTTAGAAAGGGGGGTTAGCAGGACCCGGGCAGGGCAGCTTCATGGGCACCAGCAAAAAAGGTGCTGTTAGGGCAGGGGCAGGGGCAGGGCGGTCGTGTGGGCAACCAAGGAAAAAAAGGATTTGCATGTCTCTATTTGTCATTTTTAGCATTGATGTCATGTTCTTTTGTAGGGCATGTGGGATTGAGCTGCCCGTCCGGACATCGTGGCTGCCCAGATGGAGGGAGGGCTGTGGCTTGCATGGCTCCCATGAGGCAGCAGCTTAGCAATCTGGGCCAAGCCTTCTATTCGTTTTCTTTTTAAAATTTATTTGATTTCGGGCAGCTTACTCTTTCTTAAACCTCCTCAGAAGACATATCATTGTGCATTTCTATCAGGGAATCCAAATATTCAGTCTCCAGTTTCGAAAACCTCAATAAATTGATATAATTTGTGTTTTGTTTTGTAGGATGTGTATGTGTGCAAAAGAGTGTTATATATTATACACACAAATGTATCTGAAGGAGTTGGGTTGTTGGTTGACATCATATTATCTACCTGGCACCAACCCTATCATTTGCAAACCCACCACAAAAGAGAGAAAAGAGAGAAGGGATCTATTTGGAATCAAATTTCCCCAAGGGCTCTGTTAGAACCTGAGGCTTTTTCTTCTTATGATGAGGTGCTGGTACTTGTGGCCCATACCAACCAACAAACAAACAACAAGTGAAGTAACAAATGAACAACAATTTTGAGAAGGAAAAAAAAGGGACTTCTTCCTCTTGTGATACTCAGTTGACTTCTTACTTCTAGACTGATTCTGCACAGCAATCATGCATTTTAATATCCTTTTGTGGGGTCCTCACCCTGGTATCAATAAGGGTATGGCATCTTTTTAAGTATCCAGGTTGGTGTCTCTGTGTTCAATTTCTGTGCCTCTAATTGGGCATGTTTAATGAAGCAAAATGAAACCCTGTTTAATTGGAATAAGAAGTTTGTGGCTTGGCGGTGCACACACGGGTATCAACAAGGGTAGGGTGTTGGTCCCTTCATTGGAAGAAACAAATGGAATTATTGCAGGAGTGCATGTTAGTTGTGTGTGTGTATGGCATCCACTTAGAAACTACAAAATTCCTATTCATTGCACCTTTTTCTTCCTCACTTTTTTTTTTTTTTTTCTTTGAATATTATTTCTATACATGCAAAAGACTTTTATTGAGTTTGTACAAAGGCAGAACATGTCAACTTTGCCAATATGCTCAACCATCTATTTGTAGCATCATTCAATACCAATGTCAAAGCTTTTTTGACACCAAGGGTTTAAGTCTCCCTTTCTTCTGACAAACTTTTTGGGTTTGTAAAAAAGCTGAGTTAGTGGAGCACAAGCAAAGGCTGCATTTGATTGAATAAAATAGATCCCTGAAAACAATTAATAGCAAAAGTAGAGCTGGAGATCAAACTTAAATTTAAAGTCTGCATGGTTCTCACGGTTGAGAGTTTAGTCTAAAGAGAGGGGAATTCATTTGCGTATTTTCTAGACCTATTTTGTTCTCAATGCATGGAAAATTTGGAAATAATGGATTAAAATGTAACAACTAAAGCTAAAAAATACTTACCAGAAATAATCATTTCAATTAACTTTAATTATTATGTAAGAAAAAAGAAATTTAAATAAACAAAAGAAAAGAAGAAAGAAAGAAATATTGAAGTAAGATACTTTTACAACACTGGGAAAAAATTAAATAAAATAAAGTAATGAATTGCAGTTGACTCCCATATGTGGGTTTAGTGTGATTTACGATATGCATGTGTATTTGTGAACATTGCTTTTGGCTTTTACTTTTTGGAGCTAAATACAAAAACATACAATGCAGTCATAGAATACCAAAGTTTAAATATGTACTATTGGATTGAAATTCCACGTTTTCATAAATTAAAGTATAGATATAACAAAAAAAGAATAAACATATGTTTGAATTTGAAATAAGAAGAAGTTTTTTTTAGTGATTTTTGCTCATTGAATACTTGATGTTATTTTAAGGTGGCATCATGAGTATATAGACTTTCATGATGTGCACATTTATATATATATATATATATATATTTGTAATAATTCTTTTAGCAAATTAACACATGTCTTAATTTCAATCATATTCTTCAAGAGTAATCATTACTTTAAATAATACCATGATTTATAAACCAACTCATGCACAAGTTAACTTAATTTTATGATTGACTATATCAACCAAAACATAATAATACTTCATGCATTTTTTCTAAGCTTCCATCACAACAGTTTCAAATTTGTGCATAAAATCTTAGTTGTTACAAATTCTGAAATATTATTAAACAGCCATGATATAGTAAAAGGTGAACACATTTTGGCATAAAAAGTAGACACTGTGTCTGTAGGTCAAACATCAAATGGTGGAAGCTCAACCATTGTTTTGTTATGTTTTGTTTCTTCTGTATTGTTTTTTCTTTTGACATAGCCAGGATAAACCCAATGCTCGATTGTTTGAAACCCCACAAAGTGATGTTAGATCCAACTCTACTGTATATATATACTCATCACCATCCAATTTGATCATCTCTTTTTATTTTCCATCCACCAGGTCAGGACTTGTCTCAATTTCATAAAAAAACATCATCTCTTCTGCACATTCCAATGACCTCAAACACACACACACACATACACACTTCAGAGTCTTTCTTGAGGGTGACCCTCAGCTTTACAGTTTTTAGAGCCTGAGACAGAGACCAGTGCAGGAGATCTTTATTATTATTATTATTACTTATTATCACACTTAACCCTAAAAAGAAAAATTACAATTCTAGAAAAATATCTGTTTCAACATTCCAACAAAGTAATTCATGGGAAACTCTATCCCACCCTCCTCTTTCTTATCATGCTCACTGTATTGGTGTTCTGGAATCTGTTCAACACCTGAACTCCAACAAGCCCAAGCCTACCATTCATCCCTTTTTTCCCATTCAAAAGGTGGACGTCTTCATACATCTATATATATATATATATATGGATTGCATTTAAAAACCAAATGTGGGTGGCCCCATTTGGGGTGTGAAGATATGGGTTATGGTGTTCAGGTTCCTAGAAAGTTCGGGGTTCCCATGTGTTCATTTTTTGCATTCTTAGTATTCTTCAACTTCTTCTTCTTCTATCTTTGTCTTGGTGCCTGCAGCCAAGTGTCGCCCTGTGTAGCACCAACCACCCCCCTGGTCAAGTTTTCTTTGTCATGTCCTGCTTGCTTCAAAGTCTACTGTCCAATCCCCCCATCATCTTTTACAATATTATTTTTTTCTAAATTTTAAATGTGCATGGCAAGTCTTTGCTGACCCACTTTGTTTGAGCTCCCAGAGAAAGATGCAAGACTGATCTGTGAGATGTTTGGTTGAAGTGCATTCACTGTATGTCTATACATGTATGCACATAAATAAATAAATAAATAAGAATGTATTCTCTTACAACGTGTCTACAGTAATATGCAACCAGGCCTTGGAAAAACAATAGGGGACAGGGAATGAGAACACGTGGATGAAATTCCCTCGCACTGGATGGTTGGATGAATGCATGAGAAACCATTTGACCTTAATAATAATAGTAACTGAGGCTAAAAAAGAAAAGCAATGTCTGATGATGTCTTGTTGTTTAATTAGCCACCAGAGGAGGAGTATTAGGATTTGGTCATAACAGTCCTGGTCATGGAATTAGAAAATAGACTTTTCAGAACATCAGAATTGCTCCATCCGAGTGGTTTCATTATTGGAAATGCTAAATGATAGATTAAATAAGTGTGTATGTGTGTGTATATATATAAAAATACACACATACACGTATAAAATCTATAGAAATAATAAGTTCTGTAATGAACAGCCGCACTAACTCACCATCTGGAGGCGGTGGTAGTGGTGGACGGCGATTGGATCTTTCTGAAATCGCTCTACAGCGATGGGGCGAGACAAAACAGACAGAACCACCAGAAACTAAGCGTGAGCGCGAAGACGAAATTCCACGAAGATGCTGGACGCGATTCCTACCCCAATTATTCACTGAGCCCAGTCGATAGACCAAGGAAAGCAATCACGACCGGCCGGGGAAATTCAACGGCGGAAAAAGGAAAGCAGCTGGAATGGAGGAGAAAAGTCCAGGGTGGGGGGGATGAGGGTAGAGAGCAAAGAGGGAGAGCCGCGGGCAGTGGCAAACAAGTCAGTCACTAGAGAGCTGGCTGGCCATCGGGTGGGTGGGTGGTGTCTCAGCGCCGCTAAGACTAGATCTTGCCCTTCCACCTGCCCGTGTTTGTGCCGTAGCTTAGCTGCTGCTGTGCTGCCACTCCATTCCTGTTCCGGCGATGGATCCTGTTCACTCGGTGCATCATTGATCCGAGGTTTCTGGAGAAGATCTGGCCTTCTTCCATCCTCCCATCTGCCTCCTTTCTTCCACTCGTCGTCTCTCTCTCTCTCGGTAGCGGGTTCTATGCCATGCCTGCTCACTGTGACCCTGGACGGTTGCAGGAGTACTTGTTGCCGTTCACTCTCCTCGTCAAGAGATTGTGAGTTGGGTGCTGCTTCTTCCCCTGGTTGCACAGCCGCCGCGTGCTTGCTTGGTGACGAGCCGCGTCTCGTGGTAATTGCAGTCTAGTGCACGATCGTGTTTGAATTCTTGGGAGAGTGGTGAATGTGGTGGGCTAGCGACGACGAATGGTGGTCCCTAGGTTGTGTAGATTGAGGCTCGTGGAGGATGCTACTGTAGAATCGTTATTGGCTTGGAGACCGAGTTCAAGTTTCCACTCCGGGGTTTTATGAGCGTGAGGGGGTTTAGAGCATACGGGAAGTGTTTCTGACGTCGTGTGGATGGTATGAAATGGTGTGAGTTTCAGGTGGGTTAGTGCGGGGTGCGGAAATGACTTTGTCGGGAAATCCGCTAGCGTGGACTGGTAGTGTGGCATTCTGGAGGGCTGAATTGTCGTGACTGTGGCTCCGGGGATTGGAGTTTCAGCGATCCGACTTTTGCGGATCTACGCATTTGATCTTGCACTTATCGAAGTGCAAGGTTAGGGAGTCGACAACGACGTCAAGCAAAAGATGGCGTCGCCGAGGTCCAGCAAGACCGGTGGTCTTGGATTCCGTGGCGGCGGTCAGCCGGGTAACATGGGACGGGCGCCGAACGGGAGCAGCACAAACATCCCGGTGGAGGTGCACCACGGACGGGGGACCCCCAGCGGCAGATTTATGAACCTCTCCCGCGACGAGAGTGAATTGGGCGGCGTCACAGACAGCGAAATGGGGTCCGATTATCTCTACACGGTCCAGATACCGGCCACCCCTGACCACCAGCTGATGTCTGCGAATCCGTCCAGCCGCTCCGTAGACTCGGCAATCGCAGGGAAGGCAGAGCAGCAATTTGTATCGAGTACCATTTTCACTGGAGGATTCAAGAGCGTCACAAGAGGTCACGTGATGGAGAAGATGATGGAGAGTGAGGGAAATCATCCACAACTCGCGGGTGCTCGTGGTCCCATCTGTGCTGTCGAAGGGTGTGATGGCAAAGCCATGCGCGACGAGCGCGGCGATGACATGATGCCTTGTGATTGCCAGTTCAGAATCTGCCGAGACTGCTACATTGATGCCTTGAACGGGAAGGGTGTTTGCCCAGGATGCAAAGACGAGTACAGGGTTCCCGATGAGCCGCTCAAGCACACTGACTCGCGCCGCGATGACTTGCGCGCATTGCCGCCGCCCAATAGTGACGATGTTACCTCCGGCAGAATGGACCGCCGCCTATCGCTCACGAAGCAGAAGCCGGGTCTGCTCACGGGAAATAACACCACAGACTTTGATCATGCACGGTGGCTTTACCAGACTAAGGGAACGTATGGATATGGTAATGCCTTGTGGCCTAAGGAGGATGCCTACGGTAGCAATGACGGTGGTGGCGGTGACGGAAATCCCACTGGCAACGTGGGTGCGGTACCTGAATTCAATGATAAATCTCGCCGTCCTTTGTCGCGCAAAGTAAACATCTCAGCTGGAATTCTAAGTCCTTACAGGTAATCCATTACTCATTCTTAAACAATTTCGACCCGTTCCAACTTTGAGCTGTAACATCATTACCGGTTATAATCACAAGGGGAAACGTCAACAGGTTCGAACTTGCTGTCAGAGAAAATTGTCTTGTACCTTGTCCTCACTTCAATGAGCTTCCCTTCGTAGCATGATTCTGGTGCACAGTGTTTTCTGCCTATTTGTACAAAAATAGGATGCATGCTTTTCGACTGTTTGCTGTCAGTTGGTAACAATGAGTTGATTGGTTTGCAGGCTGCTGGTGGCGATCCGTATGGTTGTCCTTGGTATGTTCCTGGCATGGCGTATCAGGAATCCGAATGTGGACGCTGTGTGGTTGTGGGGGATGTCTGTCGTTTGCGAGATTTGGTTTGCCTTCTCCTGGATTTTGGATCAGCTGCCAAAGCTATGTCCCATAAACCGTATGACGGATCTGACCGTATTGAAGGATAAGTTCGAGACCCCCAGGCCGGAGAATCCTACTGGGCGGTCTGATTTGCCAGGTGTGGACGTGTTCGTCTCGACTGCTGATCCCGAGAAAGAGCCTCCGCTGACCACCGGCAACACTATTCTATCGATTCTAGCGTCGGAGTATCCTCTCGAAAAGCTTGCAATCTATCTCTCCGACGACGGAGGTGCACTTCTCTCATTCGAGGCATTGGCTGAGGCCGCCAGCTTTGCACGCATTTGGATTCCATTTTGTCGGAAGCACAAGATTGAGCCGCGCAATCCCGAGACTTATTTTCTTTTGAGAGGAGATCCTACCAAAGGAAAAACCCGTTCCGACTTTGTCAAAGATCGTCGTCGAGTTAAGCGAGAGTATGATGAGTTTAAGGTGCGCGTCAATGGGTTGCCTGAAGCCATTCGCCGTCGCTCAGACGCTTACAATGCTCATGAGGAGATTCGTGCCAAGCGGTCTCAAATTGAAAGTGGAGGCGATCCGTCGGATCCTCTCATGGTGCCCAAGGCTACTTGGATGGCCGATGGAACTCACTGGCCTGGGACATGGACGCAATCTGGGAAGGAGCATGGACGAGGAGATCATGCTGGCATCATTCAGGTCAATCTTCGCTGCTCTCTTCAGAAAGATATCTGCAAACCCAAGTCTGAGTTTTTGAGTATCCGAAAGTAACCGCGTGCAATTTTCTGACAGTGAATGTGGTGCTTGTTTGTTTGCAGGTGATGCTCGCGCCTCCTACCCATGAGCCTTTAATGGGTAGCGCCGACGAAGAGAATGTGATTGATACTACGGACGTAGATATCCGTCTCCCGATGCTTGTCTATGTTTCTCGTGAGAAGCGTCCGGGATACGATCACAACAAGAAGGCTGGAGCTATGAATGCACTCGTGCGCACAAGCGCTGTCATGTCTAACGGGCCATTCATTCTCAATCTGGATTGTGATCACTACATCTTCAATTCCCTTGCTATCCGGGAAGCCATGTGCTTCTTTATGGACAAGGGCGGCGATCGTCTTGCATACGTCCAGTTTCCTCAGCGTTTCGAGGGCGTCGACCCCAACGATCGATATGCCAACCACAACACCGTCTTCTTCGACGTAAACATGAGAGCTCTGGATGGACTGCAAGGGCCCGTCTATGTCGGAACCGGATGTGTGTTTAGACGAATTGCGCTCTACGGCTTCGATCCCCCTAGGGTTCGTGAACACGGAGGATGCTTCGATTTCTTTTGCTGCTGTTGCGCTGGATCCAAGAAAAAGAATCAGATCATGCATACGAAGCGAGTGAACGAGGTGACAGGCATGACTGAGCACACCAGCGACGAGGACGATGATCTTGAGGCTTCTATGCTTCCCAAGCGATACGGTCAGTCCGTTGTGTTCGCTTCCTCGATTGCTGTTGCCGAATTTCAAGGGCGGCCGCTGGCAGATAAAGGCGTTCTGAACAGCCGTCCCGTCGGTGCGCTGACGGTCCCGAGAGAGCCTCTAGATGCTAGTACTGTTGCTGAAGCTATCAATGTGATCTCTTGCTTCTACGAGGACAAAACAGAGTGGGGTGGTCGAGTGGGGTGGATTTACGGGTCTGTAACAGAGGATGTGGTTACTGGTTTCCGTATGCACAATCGTGGCTGGCGCTCAATTTACTGTGTCACTAAGCGCGATGCCTTCAGGGGTACGGCCCCCATCAACCTTACGGATCGTCTGCACCAAGTAAGAAAATCCTAATGATTCTTTTTATTTCCCTGGTACTGTTTGGTGAACTGCAACCTTGTTGACAGGTAGAACTCGCTAGGGCGTGTGGGAGATCGGGGTTTTCTGATCAACTTGCAAATCATTGCACTGATTGCAGGTGCTTCGGTGGGCTACGGGATCTGTCGAAATTTTTTTCTCCCGTAACAACGCATTCTTCGCCTCTCCTCGCATGAAATTCCTTCAGCGAGTTGCCTACCTTAACGTCGGCATTTACCCGTTCACCTCGATCTTCCTGCTGGTTTACTGCTTCCTTCCCGCACTCTCCCTCTTCACTGGCCAGTTCATTGTGCAAACCCTTAACCTCTCCTTTTTAATCTATCTCCTCACCATCACCGTCACTCTCTGCGTGCTCGCCATTCTCGAGGTTAGATGGTCCGGTATCACGCTCGAGGAATGGTGGCGTAACGAGCAATTCTGGGTTATCGGAGGAACCAGTGCACATGTCGCCGCCGTTATCCAGGGTCTGCTTAAGGTAATGGCCGGAGTCGAGATTTCCTTCACTCTGACCTCAAAGTCTGCTGGAGAGGATGAAGATGATATCTACGCAGATCTCTACGTTGTAAAGTGGACTTCTCTCATGATCCCTCCCATCACCATCGGCCTCACTAACATCATCGCCATCGCCGTGGGAGTCTCGCGAACTATCTACAGTGAGATCCCGGAGTGGAGCAAGCTGATCGGAGGCGTGTTCTTCTCCTTGTGGGTGCTGTTCCATCTCTACCCCTTCGCCAAGGGTCTCATGGGCAAGGGAGGCAAGACACCGACTATCATTTACGTCTGGGCCGGGTTGTTATCAGTTATCATCTCTCTCTTGTGGCTCTACATCAGTCCTAATGCAAACAGGGCAGCACAAGTCGGCGGCGGCGGAATCTTCCAGTTCCCTTGAGCACTCCAAATTGGTGTCCACGTTACGCCAGCACATTCCTGATGTACTGATCGATTTTTTTTTAGTGTTTTTCCTTGGCTCCAAGTGCTGGTGTCTGGGCTCCGAGCCTTGTTGCAGAGTACACGCCAAACACTTTTCTCATGGGCAGCTGAATGATATGATAGAGGATGCTTACAAAGCCCCTACTGTGGCAGCTCTTCGCTTTCCGGAGGAATAGTATGCACATATGCGTAGGATTGAGGAAGAAGAACCCAGGGGAGACGGAGATACTTTATATTCGCTGGACGTCAGTGTACAATAGCTAATCAACCATTCTTTTGATTTATGTAGAGTGAGACATGAGGAGTTTGTGTAATCCTTGAGTAGAGCTAGCTGCGCAGGCGGCTTAAGTGACACTGCAGCCTTGGTGCGGCCTCACTTTCAGATTCACTAGAGTTCTAGGTCTGCGAGGTGGGCTACTGTTCAGATGTTTGAGAGAGGGACGGAGAGAGTTTCGTCGCTCTTACTTTTGCCGAACAAAAATGTAGGCAAATTGAAGTAAAATTTCTTAGTTATCGTAAACTGTCAATCCTCTTGTGCGGATTCTCATCTTCATTCTTTGCTCTCTTACGTTTCCTCTTTCGTTTGTACTTAGGAAACCCTCTTTGTTGTTGCTAATCCTTGTGCAGTTTCCGTTCATTTTGCTTGCGGCTGTAGCTTAGATTGTGCAAACTTGTGGGCACAAGGGATTTCAAGCTCAAAATATGTTTTGATAAGAAAGAATGCCAAATGAATATTCATGTGGAATGAGTGATCTGGACCGATTTTCTAGTCGAATGTTATTGTGAAAATAAACTGTGCAGAAACATCTTCTCCATTCTAATTATTCTGAGTTGAAACTTGAATCTTGCCCGTTACAAGGTTTATTCTGCCTATAGTTGTGTGTTAGTGCATGCGAAGTGTCAGACAAAGTTTGCATGATGCGTATAATTCATTTGTGACTCCGATGTCCATCACTAAGTCTCGTAAGTGTAATGCTTCAAATCCTTTACACTAAAATTATATGATTGTTGGTGCAGGTTTATGTATAAAGGACAACTATGAATCACATACATATATTATTGTTTGTTTTTTGTTTTTTGTTTTTTTTTGTTTTGTTTTTTTTTCCAGAAACAAGAAACAAAGTAATTGTGCAAAAATACGCACAAAATTGGAGATCAATAATCCTTGTTCTTATTGGTTAACTTACAGCGGTTCTTATTGGTTTATTCTTGTATTTTTTGTGATTAAATTTTCTTATTAAACAACATACGCACTTGAAAGAAATTAATCATATTACTTGTGTCTTGAAAAATTAAAAAATATAAATACCTATTTCTTTATTTTAAAACTTAAAATTCATTATCTTAAAAGAAGCCAACAAATGTATCCCATGAAAATAAAACAAAATCTTAAAATAAGATGTACATGATTATTAGATTATTGATGTTCCTTTAAACAAGTCCCTATCTAGTTTCTTAAATATTACAAAATATTGAAAAATGTGAAATGAGTCACTTTAAATTAGCTAATTTTTTGACATTGAACTTTTATACTTGGACTTTGAGCTTCCCAATTAGTGGAAGAACTTATAAACTTGATTTCAGTTTTATTGTTTCAACTGAAATAAAATGACATATTCTGGAAATTTTTTTTGGTATTCATTTTTGTGATTTATTTCTAGGCGCAAAAACTTTACACTTGTATATTTCTTCCACACAAACAGGCTCTGAGCTGGTTCAGAGGTGGACCGAAGAGAAATATCATCCACATTCATCTACTAGACATCCTTCGCATACTCTACATTTATTCAAGCTTCATCCTTAATCCGGGTCACGCACTCTACCGAGCTCAAGTGGCTTCGTGAAGCGTGTGCTTGCTTGTCTGCGTTGGACTCGGTTGGCTTCGATTCCCTGGATTCCCTGGATTTCGAGGTTCAGGAGCTTGGAGGATTGCAGAAGAAGATTTTTTTTTTTTTTTTTTTTTTTTTTTTAATTTTCAGATTGTGGGTTTTTCATTTTGTTTTTCGAGGCTCTGAGGGGTGTGGAGCAATGGCGTCTTGCTCCTCGTACTGCCAGCATGTGTCGTCGTCAGCTGGGGTGAGGGGATTGGCAACAAGCAGGTGTAATGTGGTGCACGTCGGAGCTGGAAGAGTAGGCATTCAAATGGCTGCAGGAATATTGCATCTCCGGGAGAAGAGTATGACAGTTTGTGGAGAGAAGTTGGAGATTTTGAACCCTCATTGTCACAGGAAATGGAGAAGAGGGAGCTGTGGTGGTGCAGTGGCTTTGTCTGCAAACGCTCTTGCAGCGCAGTTCGATGAAGTAGTCGCGGAAAAAAGCGATTCGCCTGTGATTTTGGAGGTGCAGGGTTTAACAGCCGTAGTGTCAGACACGCGGCAGGAAATTCTGAAAGGGGTGGATCTTGTGATTCGCGCTGGAGAGGTTAGTTGAAGTGTGCAAGTTTCATATTGTATTTCCGGATTTATCCCTCATTTTTGTTTGAAGGAAACCTTGTGAATTTCATTGGAGTAGTTCCTATCCTTGGAGAAGCTCACGCGTGGAATTTCATTGGGAGCTATCATGGGCTAGGACTGAATGGCTTCTCTTTTAGGGTTGAATTATACTATAAGCATGGTCCAAGTCTCTGACTGGATATAAATGTTTTTGGTTTTAGGCCCTCAATTGTGGATCATCCTAAATTGGGATCCAAAACTCTCGTTATGTCCTAAACCCCGACTTGAGAATGGGGATAAATTCTGTCAGGTTATGAGATGCACGAGAACCATTGGCAGGACTTTATGATGTGCTTTAGCACAACATCAATAAACCCCATAGGCGCGTAACTCTACTGTTTCTGGCGCAATGGGTTTGAATTGAGTATATGGATCAGATTATCATATTAGGGCTATTGAGTAGTGTCCTGACTAGGTCTGGTCTCCAGTAGTGCAGGTGCACGCAATCATGGGAAAGAACGGCTCAGGGAAGAGCACGCTATCTAAGGTAACTATTCTTATCGTGAGTTTTAATAATGTGGTGTTTTTGATATCTTCCACTAGCGCAGCAAGTCACTGCATATCAATGAGTGTTCTTATGCCTGACTCACTAGTCGTCAAGTTTTTCGAACATTGTCCACCTGCCATTGGAATTAGTTGGCGGCTCTGAGGTTTTTCCCGGCTGGCCTTTTATGGATTGGATTGCATGTTGTGAATGCAGGTTCTAGTTGGGCACCCAGACTACGAAGTGACGGGGGGAACTGCCATATTCAAGGGAGAGAATCTTCGCGATAAGGAACCCGAGGAGAGAAGTCATTGTGGGTTGTTTTTAAGTTTCCAGTCTCCAGTTGAAATTCCTGGAGTGAGCAATATGGACTTTCTTCGAATGGCTTGCAATGCTCGGCGAAAAGCACAAAACCTTGAAGAACTTGGTCCACTTGAGGTATCTCCGCTCTCAATGAACATGGTGTGCATGCAGGTTCTTTCGTGCCTCCAATACAATTTGCTGTCTTGAAGGCTCTAGGTGATTTGTTGAATACCACTTCTTTTCTTTACATTCTTTGAATAGGTTTTATGAGAAATCAAGTTCGATTTAAAGGAAACGTATTCCCAACATTATAGTATCAGTTTCACGCTGGTTTAATTACTAGGTTCTGTGATCTACAGTTTTATGGATTTGTTGCTGAGAAGCTTGGAGCTCTCAACATGGACCCAAAATTTTTGGACCGTAATGTCAACGAGGGCTTCAGTGGAGGAGAGAAGAAGAGGAATGAGATTTTGTAATTATCAGTAAGCAATGGCTTGTTTAATTCGTAATACATTACCCGATGTTGCATACCGCGCTGGTGTGATTTCAACTTGTGCACGTTCAATTATGTATGTGATGTTACCAAGTGACAATCAGTACATTGTCAGCAGCCAGAGTGCTGACCGGAGATGGTGGTGAGCAGGTACTTGAAGCGGATATGGCAATATTGGATGAAATTGACTCTGGCCTGGATACTGATGCCCTACGAGATGTTGCAACGGCAGTTATTGGTTTGAAGAAGGATGATAACGCTATCCTCATGATCACTCATTACCAGCGATTGTTGAACTACATTGCTCCAACCTACGTACATATTATGGTAACATAACGTCCCATAGCAACTCTACGTTAGCAGTTGGAAACTATAAAAAAAAAAAACCAATTTTTTCTTTTTTTAATAATTTTAGCCGTGTGGCAAGCAAACTCATCTGTAGTTGATTTTGAGTCGGGAACACCTGTTAACTTGTGTCTAATGAAGAACCGTAGTTGATTTTAAGGTATACATTTCTGGGGTTTGACCCGGACCTGCTAGCTGTAGATTCGAAACCAGTAAGATTGTTCCTACTTACAATCTAGTTCGTTTCTGTTGGAGGAGGCTGGACGGATCATGCAAACTGGAGATATGTCATTAGCAGCACAACTTGAAGCGGGTGGCTACAACGCTGTTCAAAGGTTGATAGCAAGTAATTAATCACAGCATGTTAATTGTGCAGTCTAGATTGCTGCAAATGTACACTGGGCTTGCATAAATGGTAGGTACTTCTGTTTATGAAATGTATCATCGCAGTTTTGTCATCCACGAAGCATCTTCACATACTAGTACCTTCTTTACTACCGGTCTTGTACATGTCGGTTCATTGTTTTAGTGCGATGATGTCCAGCGTATTTATCAGGTGGGGTTCCGATGGTGTTTTCAAGCCTGCTCGTGGTTTGTAAACTTGCATACATTAATCTATCAATTAAATTGACTTCTAAGCATAGCCCAAGCTGGTGCACGATAGATAAGTTCACCAGAAGGAGCTCCTAGAATATGTGAGTTCTCGGATCATTATACCAATGACTGAGATTAAGCGGCTTTAACAGCCTGAATGTTTTCGAGATTCGTTTTATCAATGTTTCAAGTCACATGCTAAGACGGCCTGTTAAAATTGGAACTTTAGATTTGGGGGTTTTGATGTTGAAATGAGCACACCAGCAATATACACCTAAATTTTTTATCTGTTAAAAAAAAATAATGTTTTGACCATTTTGTTATGGTGCCTACAGTCATTTAAAAGTGTGGTGTCAATTTTGTAAACATTTGTGATCAGACTTGATAAGGACTTATACGCATTTGTGTTTATACAAGGACTTATATGCATTAGATAATTTAAAATATTTTTGGTCTTAATTAATAATAGGTGATGACAAATTATATATAATAGGTGATGACAAATGTGGCTAATTTATTGTTGTATGTTGTACCAAGTTTACATGCTTAAAAAAGGATTAAGATATGGATAAATATTGTGTTTTAGTAAATTTTAAATATTGAAATAAGAAAATGAATTAAATTTTTGGTAATGGTTTTAATAAATTGAGTGGCATTAAAAATATTATATTTATTAACAAGTTAAAGAATATCTTTTCAAATATATAAGATTATATTTAATAAGATATTTCATTTTTTTTTGATAGAATTGAAGCTAGCTTAAAATAATATTAGATGAAGTATTAAAATTAGTATATTATAAACATTGTAGAAATATCCATCAATGCATTGTAAAAAAGAAGGTAGAAAAATTGCAAAGAATAACTTAACTTAATTGATTAAGAAGATAAGAATTTATTTCTAGTAGATATTTGAATATCTTTTTAGTGTAGTTATATTAATAAAAAATACTCATGCATGCCAATGAAGATATGTTGGTTGCTTATGTTAGTACTTTATTAGATATTATTTGGTTACAAAGATTGGACAAAAAATAATAATGCTATAGATATGTCATCATATCCAACTTTTATAAATACTTTGGAAATAGATTATGATGGAAAAACTTTCAAAAAGACATTTTGTACCACGTTTGTTAAAACATGCAATATTAAGGTGAATAAAGTAAAATATAATAAATATTTCTCATGTAAAGGTGTGATACTAATGTTTGTATTGCAAATAATATATATATATATATATATATATATATATATATATATATATATATTTCTTCTATTCTCATTTTTCATGAAATATCTAAAATGGCTTGTTCTTGCATTGTGTGCTTTTTTAGTTGACTAATAAATAAATCTATCTTTTATTATTGGTAATTATTAACTACATATAATAATAAGTATTTGAATACATCAAAAAAATTGTAAAATTTGAACTTAGATATAATTTTGTATACATTGCATAATATATGATGACAAAAAGAAAAAAAGAAAAAGAAAAAAAAGAAAAGAAAAAAAGAAAACAAAAAACAAACAAATTCATCTTAAAAGCTAAGATAATAAAAAAAAACACTATATAGATATGATATTCATATTCAAATTCATCTGTAAAGCTAAGATAATAAAAATTTTAAAGAAAGAAAAATAACTAAATTTAATGATAATAATTTTTTATATTAAAAATATCTTTTAATTATATGTAAAATGTTTTATTGAAATTTTCTTATTCTAGATTATATATTAATATATATAAAAAAATTTCTAAGTAATTAATTAGATTTAAAAATAATTAAAAATATAAAATTTAAATTATTTATTTTTATATTTTTTTATTAAAATTATTATTTGAATGACATCTTATTTCTAAATTTAATTTAAAACTTTAATTTTTGTAATAATAATTATTTATATTATGTTTAATTAAATTAAGAAAATATAAATATTATTTTTTATTTTAAAATAAAATTATATATACTAAAAATAAAATATTAAATACTATAAATATTTTTTATAAAGCATTATCAATAGAATTGGTAATAATACTTAATACATAGATTGAAAGTTATTTATAAGATGTTATTACAAAGAATATTTTTATATATTTTTGGTATCTTATTAATAGAGATGTATTTAAAATATTATATATTAATTATTATTTTATTATAATTACTTCATTTCAATGTCTTGATTTATATTAATTTTAGACATAAGATTCTTTAAACAATCTATTCTTTTATGAGTTCTACTTAATTAACTATCAATATCTATTTATCTTGATTTAATAAAATAATATTTTAAAAATCTAAAGAATGTAGAAATTATATTTTTTTTTTCTTAAATAAAAAATAAATAAAATTAATGTGTTCTTTATAAAAACTACAAACTCTTCTAAATTATATACACATTCAATTATATATAATACATGAAAAGTCAAAAACTGATTATTTATTTTAGATTTTAAAATACACATCTTGCCATGCCAACTTGTTGTTTAGGATATGAATCTTAAGCAAATAAATCTTCAATACATTCTTCAGTCACTTGGAAAGAATAGATATTCACTCAAACATAGTAATATATTAGAACTAGAATGGCTTTGCCAAAGAAGACTAGAGACTTTTAAAACAAGACTAAGAACAAGAAAAACATTTCAAAGAGTGAAGGAGGCTTTATTCTTACCTCCATATATACTATCTAACTAGAAACTACGTTACAATGTTCTATAGAATCTTTGATATGTATCTAACTTGCAAAACAAATTTCTTCCATGTGTACTACATAGTCAACTTGTATCATAAGTTGCCAACATGTGTGACATGTGTCCAACTTGTTAGTCAAGTTTTTAAATTATTAATCAAATATAAACATATGTAAAGTTAAATCCATGTTTACGAAGCTTTTATGAAGTTATTCCACAAGATATTATTAAATTTTTATATATATATTTTTTACTTAATACTTTTTATCTAAGTAATTTATGTATGTCTATAATATTACCTCTTTTTCTAGAAAGAAGTTCCATAAGGAGTATTGATTACATCTTGATTCTTCATTTTGATTTTAATGGATGTTGTTGATAAAAAGAATCAATCTTCCTTGCAATCAAGATTCTTTGTTGGTTTCCATGTGTATTCATTAACATTATATCCATGCCAATGTACAAGATATTTCAACCTATTTTGGCACTGCTTTGAATCTAGGACTTCTTTGGCCTCAAACTCTTGATTATAGTCTATTTTTATTTTAAAAAAGTATCATTTGTCTTCTTCTTAATATATCTATTGTCTTGTATGGTTCAAAAAGATACATAAAATACAAGATAGATTTTTATAGACTTTGGAAGGTATAATTGATAAGCAATTAGTTTGATCTATTCACAAATAAAAAATGGTTCAATTCTATAGTAATTCAACTTATTATAAGTGCAAATAGTCTTGATATTGTGATAAAATAACCATACGTCATTGCCAATGTGGAAGTGATGTTGTTCCTTACAATAGGCATAGACATTGATTTTTTGTTGAACTTCTTCTAATTGTGTCTTCATTAATACATGTTATAGAATAAAATCGAGATATGTCTAGAATTTTTTAATTTATTAACTTCTATTAATTTATTAACTTTAATTATTAAGAATACATTGAATTTTCATATTACCAACACAATTATATGTAAAATGATGGCTTTTAGAAATCTTTGTGATGTAACTTCCATAGCAAATTTCTAAAACAAGGTTAGATGAATCCTAGTTTGGATTCCATTACGAAGGAAATACCAATCAGTGTAGTAAGAGATCTTTTCAAAATAAAATGCTAATGAAAACCAAAAAATAAGTGGAGTTTTACTATCAGAAGATGGCATATTCAGCAATGAGAGTTTGAAAAAATCCACAGTTGCCATTCTTTGTGCAGATGAGCACACTATGGGCGATGCACTCCTCTTCAAATTGATCTCTTGTAACATCTACAAATCAATGAGTCTTGTTGCTAAATGTTTTTGACAAACAATAAAGTGATACGTTCTCCGGCTCGCACCCACGGTGCGTCGACTTCAAGGTTGCGTAGAAAGTCGGCAGCGTCTTCAGGACGAACCGAATTCACATACGATCCGCTGCCAAGTTCAAATCCCCCCGGAGATGCCAGATGTGGCACAACGCAAAGACACCAATGGTAGTGAGCAGAGTTGTAGTGCTCCTTTCCCAGAGGAGCTGTTTGAAGCGTGTAGTTGTACGATGGACACCCAAAAGCCTTGTCAATCTTTCGTAATGTCAACTTGAGCATCTTTGCCATGATTGAATCTGTGGTTTGAAGGCACATGCACCATTTCTTAGCAGCCATCCTTGCCATGTTTCAAACAGCACACAAAACATCATCAAGGGAAGTGGCACATGGTAATCCACATACCACGAACAAGTGATTCACTGTCGTATCTGCATAAAGCACATTGTTTACCTCGTCTTCGCCAATTGTCTCGTAGTTAGAGGAGTGGCGTTTGGGCCACAGCCAAGTCTCGAAAGGAAACATGGGTGCGTAGGGCGAAACCGTGACGAAGTGCTCATTCTCGTCAATAAGGCGGATGCAGTTTGCTTGTGTTTCATACTGTGCAACATCGCAAAGCAGGCACCTCTTGTGTTTGTCGTAGTACTCTTGAGAACCATGGAGTTCAGCTTGTATGTTGTGGGTTCTGACTGGAAGCGCAATCAACTGGCTGTGTGAGTGCGTCATTGATGCACCTGCTCTGTCGCCCCTGTTCTTGAACACCTGATAGCATACATCCCATCAAGCTGGGTTTATGTTAATACTCGACCTCGCTTGTACGTAGACTTTCGACATTTTGGACCCCCGGTCAAGATTGTGGTACTAAAGATAATCTAAAGAAGAACGTGGGTCAGAAATTGGCAGAAATGG